ACCCTCCCTCTCGCCTCCACTCCCACCCCGCTGGGGCCCGGTCATGCCGTGAGAACGGGATGACATTACCGGGCCATTTAGCTGGCGGAAGAGCAAAAAGAGGTGAGAGTGTGTCGCTTTTGTTATTTAATGGTTGGCTAATGTCTCGGCAGAGGGGGGGTATGCCTCATAGCCAAAAATGAAAACAAATAGGTCAACATTATGAGCCTTGGAAGTGGTAGCTATACAATGAGGCCTTTAGGCTGCATGGTTTGACTGAAGACACTGAAGCATGACTGGAGTGCACTACTAGTTCATTTTGCCGATCATTGGAGAATGGTTCATTGCCTGTGGCCTGTAGAGCTCACACTTTGGTCTAATATCAAAACAACATATTGTCACTGTTGGAAAAAGTACTCAGAACTCAGAAAAATGTCACAAATGAAGAAAGTGTAGCAAAAAGTACAAGAATGATCTCTAATATGGAGTGAAGTGGAAGCTTGAATTAGCAAAAAATGGAAATACTAAAGTACAAGTGCAATACCTACTTAAATTCTCGGGTAAGTGTCATTCATTTCACCACTGCAAATAGGCAACCACTTTTAGCTAGAGCTAAATACGAGGCATGGTGATAAACATGATTATATGCATGCGTGAAATGCAGGCTCTCTGTTCTTTAAACTGGAGATCAACATGTGTTGGGGTTTTTATATATGTGAAGATGAACTTGCTTGTCTTTCTGTGAGACAAGGTGTCACATACTAAAATGCAAGGATTGTGTTATATGTTTTCCAGAGACAGTTCTCCACTGTCACCGAATCGTTTTACTTTGATGACAGTTTAAATGTCTTCTGTCAGACTGGATTTCAAAAGGAATACAACAACTCTTATCATTTACACATTGCTGTGACCTCAGGTATTGTAGTTGTCCTTTGGGATTAGAGATAAACATGAAATGACTCCAGAAGGAATAAAGAGGAAGGTTCCGTGATTTTAACTGGGAGGCTGTGGCGGCAGTGCTCAGATTGGATCTTATATCCAAAAGAGGTTACGGGCTGTCAATAAAAACTGTTGACACAGGGAATGTTCAGATCTTATGTCACTCCATTTGGCATCTTCCAGGGGATTAGGGGCAACGCAGATTTCTGTTATATGAGAATAAGATGGTGTTCAATGTCAGACATTAAAGGGGATTTTGTTTTGGAGCATCATGCTAAAATAATGATATCAGGATTGCATTTCTTTTTTTTAACCTATTTAATCAGGAATGCACGATCACACTTTATCAAACACGTTAATGTGCTCTTTAGTTCTGTATAAATCCACTCTGAGTGGTGTAATCAAACTCACTTATACTTAGATTTTCATAAATCAAACACTGCTATGATCAGACTAGCCCTTCACGATTCGATTAAAACCTGTGTGGTTGATGCCTGAAGGCCTAAAGTAAGCTAAATATTACTTCAGGGGAAACTGATATTATTTGATGTCTTTTTAAATATTATTTGAATTGATCCACCTTTTTTCAATTGCTTCTGACATCTTTTGTGCATTTACAGAGTAAATAACGATACTCAGATGTTTGTAATGTGTTCCCTCTGTGAGATTAATCATCGTTTAAATAAACGTAAAAAAACTGCCGACACATGGACTTTTGTGAATTTTGTCAGTGTCCCACTCTTCGATGTGCCCCCTCTCTACGCCACTCGGCGGTGCTCACAGACTTCCCCTTTGTGGATATCAAATCATCTAATCCACAAGACTTCAGAAATGGCAGAAGAAGCTAATAAAACGTCATCTCACCGGTGCAAAACCTGCCGTTTGCTTTCAACAATATCGAGACATTTGGAAGCGTCAGAGGAATCTCGCATCGGTGTGTTTCAGTGAATCCTGCGGTTCTGGATTTCAGCACCACGGAGCTGTCTGCCGTCCGGAGCGAAGTGAGGCTGCAGAGACTCTCACTGCCGCTGCTGGCGAAGATAAGAACGTCTAAGAGAGGATATAAAGTGTGATTCAAGCTCAAAATGAAACTACAGTCCCCCTTTCCATCGCATTACTTTAACAGCGAATGTTTATTTTTGACTGAAACATGTCGGGTTATTGCAATTAATACGAATACGTGTCATTCACAAAGAAGTCCTGAATTCTTGAGTTCGTGTATGTGTAGTTATTTGCTCTGAGTAGGAGCACAAAGGACCGTATTCTCTATATTTCTCTATTTATAGACCCTCTCCCCTTGGTGGATTGTACCATTTTGTCTTCGGCATAGGAAAAGGGTGGGCAGAGAGCATTGGCTTTGACATATACCGAGTTTAAAGCAGCGCCCCTTTCTCCAAACCTCCCTACTGCTCTGGCAGACATTGAACCGGCCCTGTCCGTTTAAACCGAGAAGACACCCATACCGACTCCTCAATGCAAAAAAAATAAAAGGGTGCCAAGAAGCTTGGACGAGGGAACGTGGGTGTAAATAGACAGTGAACGCTCTTGGTCTCTCTCTCTCTCCCTCTCCCTCCCCCTTCTCTTTTCTCTCTGTCTCTCTTTTATGAAATCAATGAACGAGTTATTGGGTAGGACATAAATATAAGGAATCAAAGCCTCCACCGGGACCAACAGCATTGCGCGCTTTTTGATATGCGTCTTCGCCAAATGCTACATGTGTTTTCATATCAGTGTAAATATTGGCTTTGAGCGGACGAGAGTGGAATCGGCTCTGGCACGGCTTGGTCTCGGAACCAAATTTTGACCAAGACTTTCACCAGCTTTTCATTTTTTTCAACGTTAAACGATTCTCCACCATCACCAACTGCTGCTGTTTGTACCCATCCCAACTCACTGGCCGGTCTGAAGATGGCAACTTTAACCAACGGGCAGGTGGACGGCTCGGTGCACGGTGTGGTCTCCAACACGAACGGGCTCGTGAACGGATTAAGCCACAGCCACAGTCCGGTGGGCTGCCCGGCCACCATCCCCATGAAGGACCACGATGCCATCAAACTCTTCATCGGTCAGATCCCCCGCAACCTGGACGAGAAGGACCTCCGGCCCCTCTTCGAGGAGTTCGGCAAGATCTACGAGCTCACTGTGCTGAAGGACCGCTTCACGGGCATGCACAAAGGTGGGTAAAACCCAACATCCCAGAGACACCTTGCCTTTTTGTCACTTTGCATTTTGTCACACAGTGGTGAGATGGTGGATCCTAAATCCAGCAAGGTTTTATGGGTACAATTGTTGGCACATTGTGCAATTATTCGTTAGGCTGTAGACTTTAAGCATGTTGTTTCGGGAAGTGTGTCCACCCAAAAAAGAGATTAAATCCTTTGTTAGACTTTTTATTGGTTCTCCAAATAAGTACGTCCATTATTTTCTGTTTTATGGGGCAAGAATATCCAAGCATGATAAGAGTGTCACGAATCGGGAGTCACGACGGCATGAATTTATGTAGGGTGATATTAGGAGGAGCAGTTCCTATGTGGGCAGTGTGCACGGGAGTATTCACACATCTAGTCCGGGCGGTTGTAAACGTGCTTCATTCACTATACGGTGCTAAATCCAGGCCATTAACCTCACGTTTTCACGTTGCAATAGCGGGGGGGCTGTGTTTGATTGCCCGCAGCGCCGTACACTTCTTTACCCGTATACTCTCTCTCTCGCTGTGCGTGTGTGTGTTTGCTTGCTTGCACGCGCGTGTGTTGGTTGGCTGTCCGTGAAGGGGGCGTGCACGCGAGTATGCGCGTGCAAGTGGAAGAGTAGTCTATAATTTCCTTTTTTATTTTAATATTCTTTTATGTGATCTTTCCACCTTAAAAATGCTAATTAAACTACAGTAGAAATTAAAATAAAAAATTTGAAATTGTTATTTTTTATTGTTTTTTAAACGTTCTAACAACCCAGCAATGTTTATTACTTAAGTCTTTTTTATAACTGCTCTTAGTGTATATCCCTTTGGTTGCATTAATGAATTATCATAAACTTTTAGCGTTGAAATGCTACATGGCCTTTCTGTGTAATATCAACGACCAGCTTTGTAATTTTGGTGCAACAGGAATGATCTTTATCCCTGTATTTTATTATCCCCTCTCAAGGGAAAGGTCATTCTCTGCAAATCATCATCTAACGAGAGGTCACTAATTGATCTGCTATACCTGCAGGACGTCTCCCAGGGGAGCAAAGTACATTAAGAATGAGATATCACTTTTTGGGAGCCCCCCCACCACCAGCCTCCTCCCCATGTAAACAATGTGTGACATGCACCATGTGTCAGGAAATGATTATGATATACAAATAATTCCAGAGGGCGGAGACTGTCTGCAGGCATGGGGGAAACCAAAGAGGTGGAGAAGGGAAGAGGGGGGGTTATCTTTTATTAATAGCCCAGCTGTAGTAGCGACTCCCTGTTGGACAGTTAATCAACAGTGGCCCCAGAACTATAGGCACGGCTGGCCAGCTGATTCTAAGAACTGTCTCCTCACCGCGATATACGGCCCTGGCTTCCCGGGCAGGGCCCCCGCTTTCATTAGCGAGCCCCCGCTGCGCTCATATTTTAACTAGCTGGAGGCACTAGCTATTCCCTGGCTCACCAGCTCACTGGCTCACTGCAACCTGCTCCAAGGCCGCCTTCCCCCCTAACACCTTCCTGAGGTTTCCATATAGAAGATTCACAAATTAACAGTAAAAGACAGCACGTCCCACAAATAACAGACAAAGTGTCTGACTGTGTGCGCTGCCGCCACACCGCTTTTATTGAAGACTACACAGCATAACATGAGTCAGGTATTGTGTGATATCACAGCAAGAGTTTGAGATGAGAGTAAATACACTTACGCGTAATTACACAACTATTTGAAAGGGAAATAATGCATGCAGTATTGTTTTTTCTGTCAAACCATTGAGTACTTTTCGTACATATGTATACTTTGTTTTGTGAATACATCTTTCAACCTTTCTATTCTTCCTTCTCCCCTTTCCCTGAGCTCCTTCACGCAGTTTCCATTTTTCTGAGTGCTGCTAGAAAGAGTCAAACCGAGGGCATGATGACCCTGTAAGGTGTGTAACGCTCCAGTGGACTGAAGTCTATAGAACTGCCCACCAGAAAATTCCTTTTCTATTCTTTTCCTCCATCTTTTCTCCTCTTCATTAACTCAGCTTGATCCCCTTCATTCTTTGCTTTGCCTCTTTCCCCTTTTGTCTTCATTTCATATTCTAGGGCTGACATGTTGCATGTTCACTGACAGTGACATCATGTTGGATAATGGCTCTGGTAATACAAAGCCTTAGTTTGAAGTGGCGATTGTAGACAACAGGGTTAGGATACCTGTAACTGTCATCGCTAACAATGTTATAATGCCTCACCCGGGGATACTGTTGCATTCATTTAACTTTCCCCGAAGAGACACGGCACTTTAACAAAGAAATAAGCATGGTTTTCAGATAATACAGAGCCTTTTTCTGCTACGGCAGGTAATAAAAGGTTCTGCTGTACATCAACAAGCGTAAAGGAACAGCCTTTGCTATGGTAATGCTACTTCTGAAGAAAGAGACCCCTATTATAGCCATTGTCAACCGTGCCTGTGATACTATTGCCATAACCCTCCCCATAATGACTCCATGTATCACTAGTAATCTAGTCTTTAGGATTCTGTCCCTTTGGAATGGTGGGGGGTGGGAGGAGGGGAGTACGGGACGGAGGTCTGCAGAGGCTGGGAGCGGGCGCAGGGACCCCAGCGCAGGCCCACATTCTCCCAATGATTTTATTTCTCTCCCCTCTGCGACCGAGCCATGCTAATAGAGGCCATTTATAATGGTCACCGGCTGCTGCTGCTGCCAAGCACAACGGGGCTGAGAGGCACGGCTAGCACAAAGAGCCAGCCCTTTTTCCTCTTCTCTCTGGCAATGCAGCATGGGAGGTGGGGGTCTATTCGAGAGGAGAAGGTGTAGATATGATTGCTTGCACTATTCATCTGCCTGATTTCATGTAATAATCACTGGGGGCAATTGAGCCGCGATGATACGGGGGAAGACGTTTAATAACTGAAGGTTGTTATCTATTGTTTACCGCTGTCACATCTGCAGGCGGTATTGGCCAAACCTTTGTTGTCTACATCTTTGTTTTTCCCGTGCAAATGCAACTGTCACCAAGTTTGTTTTGCTGCTATTGTGGTTTATCTGGTGTTAATTTAAGTCAAGTATATCATTGTCCTTGGCCACACTAAATATGTTAGCCCTCGCCATAGGAGAAGACAGAGTGGTTGCAAAGAGTTGCTCAAAGTCAAAGCAGTTGTTGAAACTTCATTATGATTTAGGCCAAATATCTATTTTGCCCTGGCAGGTTGTGCTAATAAACTGTCACAGCTATTTCGTAGAGGTTATCTGCTTTCAATATAAAATTCTGCTTGCTTATTGTTATAAAAATAACGGTGGAAATGAATTAATATATCTTTGATGTTAGGCTGTTTCCTAATAGATGCAGCTGAAACTATTGTACGATTATGTTTGATTTATCCGCCAATTATTTTCTGGATTAATCTTTTAGTCTATTAAATGTCAGGTATAGTGAAATATGTTTATCCCACCTTTCCCAAAGTCCAATGCGATGTCTTTTAAGGGTCTTGTTTTGTCAGTCAAGACGCCAAATATGTTCGGTTTAAAAGGATGAAATCAGCATTTTCAGAGACTTTTGCATTGAAAATGAAGTATTGATGAAAAGATAATAACAAAAGTGGGCTTTTTTTTCTAATTAGTCAACGTATCATTTTGCAATCAGTAATTCAATATAAATATTGGAGAAAATGGTGTTTGAAATCAAACAAGTGGAGATGCAGTGTAATGACCAATTGTAATCTTGTTTAAATGTACCCCTACTGCAGATGGCTTAGGCCACAGATGGGGGGATATAATCTATGCGGGTCATAGAGGGAGTTATGGATCACCTCAGAACGTCTATGGTGTTGATATCTCAGCCCTTTTTAAAGTGAGTGTGTCAGGGGAGTAGCAGCTTCAAAGCAGATCGTGCTCGTCGTGTTTGGTGAGACCAGGAAGTCACGATGCCAAAACATGAAAGTCTCATGCTGTGTTTTATTGCAGCCAATTAGGTGTTACAGGTTGCCATTAGAGTAGCGTCTGCAAAAGAAAAGGAGGATAAAACCAAATGTGTCTTAGAACAAAGAGAGAGAGAAGTGCGGGTGTGGGTTTTCGTCCTGCAGGTCTGCGTTAATGCAGCATGCGTTCCGGCCGAAAGATTTCACTCTCGTTGCATCATCCTCTCTCTGTGGGATCCTTCGCTCTCCTCCTCTCCCATTTGGTTTGGGATGAGTGTGTCTGTGTGTGTGTCTGTATGTTTATGTTCTCTTCCTCTCCGCCCTGTCCCAGAATCCACCACTCAGCTCTGCTCAGAATGCGCGCTCAGGTCCCACATTGTGCCCCGTTTCTATAAAGACGCCATCGATTTTGAGTGTTTTGTCTGAGAGAAGGGCAACATGTGTCATAGAGGAGGTCGCTTCCTCCTAAAGTGCCACCGGCGCCACACCGCACCCGCCACCCTGTCCTGGCACAGCCCAGAACTGCCAAGCAACAAGAGGGAAACAAGAGGCGGAGCCAGAGCGGCGAGTACAGTGAGCCTAATTTGTCAGGAGGGCCGTTGTCAAGGCAGCACTGCCTCTGTTGTCCATTATCATTGGAGGGGACTGTCAGATGGGGGCCGGCTGATGGCCGAGCAGGGAGCCAGTTAGTCACAGTGAGAGATGACCGCACCGAGCCAGAGGAGGGAGTGCTCATGGAGCTCCTGCGAGGATTAGCATGCTAACCGCAGGTTTGGAGTCATGAGGCCTGTCAGGGAGGTGCAGCCCTCTGGCTCCTCTGACCTCGGCAGGCCTCTCATTAAAACCACTGACCTTTACATACAGAGAGAGAGGTAATTTAAAGGGATGGCTGCACCTACATCCTCATCTCATTGCACTTCCTAAAGACAGAGTGAAGCATGCTGATATACATTCAACACAAAGTGAAATGCAAATGGGAAAATGGGAAAAACGTTTAAACAGTATATCAAGAACATATGCAGCAAGACAAGGGTTTAAAATGTGCTTTACCAAAGCTTTCAATTACAATATCACCATTACA